TCTCTACCGCTATCTACTCTGGTCCTGTCCTCACCAGATATCCACACTCGTTCTCTTAACAGCAGAGGTCTCTAGGTAATGTCCAAAAGGGGACAATGTGTATATATTTTTTTCCCCATTGGTTTCTCCCTCCAAGCCAAGAACTGGCCCCAAGGCAAAGCCAGAGGCAGTGACCTTAGTTAACCCGGCGCAGATGACCGCTGCAATCTGGAAACCTTATGATCTCTATGAATTTACCACATCGGCCTTTGTGTTCGCCAGCTGAGCCATCATGGGAGCTGCAGCATATAATTATTCCAGCTGTTCCCCCCACCCCCACCCCACATGCACACACACACATACACACACACAAAATGCAGAATACAATAATCATTGAACTGCCATTTACAGAAAGGAAGTGGGAAATCTTATTTATCCCCCAAATAAATCCGGATGGCCTGAGGTTCACTGGCTGCTGTTTTCAGTGGGTTGGAGTGGACCTTTACTAACAGCTCTTGCATTTGTAGCAGGCGTAGTAATACGTTTATTCCGAAGGCTCTTTGTTAGTGTTAAATCGTACAAATTGTACCGTCATAAATATCATTCTTTGCCCCAGGATGGAGACTGGTATAAACAGGGCTCTCTCTCTCTTTCCCTTTCCTCCTGTCTCTAGTCAAGCTACTCACTTTGAGATGACAGTCAGTGTGTGTTTAAATGCTACAGACTAAACAAATCACATTAGCCACCCTGTGAGTATCAGCAATGCAGAGATAGCGAACACAACTGGTTACAGCTGGACAATGCTGAGCCCGGTCTTCTTCACAGTATTTTATTATTGGGGGAGATGGGGAGGGCCCTGGGCTTCCTAGTCAAAGCACATTGTATTCTGCACTCAGTCCCCAATTTATTTTAATTACACACTAGTTCAGTTGTGGAAGGCTTTGAATAAAAAACATTGTTTTAAAGATGTCATTAAGTGACATTAAGGTGACGTTCCGCCCACAAAATATACAGTCAATTCACTTTACAACGTATTCTGTGAAGCGATTTGAGACGTCTCGAAGACGTTATAAGGCGCTGTATCAAATGCAAGGATTATTATTATTGTTATTGGTTTAAAGTGACTTGCGATTTGAGAAACGGTGGGGTGCAGATTTGTTTTCCTCTCTTGTCTTGATTTATATTCAATGTGTAAGCAATCTCTTAGTTTAGCCCCCAGTTACCGAGGGAATGTCATCATCCCATCGCACCATCTCAGATCAGTCGTTCGGGCAGACATTAAAGATCCCAACGGCACTATTCGAAAAGAGAAGAGAGTTTCTCCAGGTGTCCTGGCCAACAGTTTATCTTCTCTTTCTCTTCCCCCCCCACCCCAAAAAAATATATAAATGTGGTGATTCACTTAATGGCTATTTGTGGGACATAACTGTGTGTAAATTTGCTCAAAATCAATTTGCGCACATCAGTGTCCCACAGAGAGCCTTCAAGTGAATGACCAATTTTGATCTGGGGAATTGTCGGCCCGGGCATTGGGAGACGCTTCCTTCTCTTTTCGAGCGGTGCCATGGGATGGATCTTTAAGGTCTATCTGAACAAAGACAGGACCTCAGTTTAACGTCTTATCTGAAGGATGGCACCACCGACAATCCTGCACCTGGTCTGTGAGCACCAAGTCCCCCCAATGTCCAAGCCTAGCTTGGTGCTGTTCTTTAGCTGTTGGCTCGAGTGGGTTTCCTGGGCAGTAAGGGCCTGGGCAGGTGGAGATGAACTCTTTAGAAGCCTTTAAAACCAGAGCTGTGAATCTAAAAATTACCAGTGTTTGCCGACACTTGGGAAGTGGAATCCACTGAATCAATACGCCCTTCAATCCTGTTTCTGTCCAATTGTTTAGTTAGCAGCATCACTTAGCCAAGAATAATAAATTCTGATTGGATCAGTCACAAGCCATCTTTGTTAGTGTGAAGGTTTGGTAATTCATAGAGAGAGAAAAAAACATGTCCATCTTTCTTTTACACTGAGAAGCCGCGGGTCGCTGGGCATGTTTAGACTGACTCCCTGGAAGGATTAAGCTACATGGGATACATTGCTTCACTAGGGAGCTAGAGGCTAACTACAGAGCACAATGAAATCTTTCTACAGTTTAATGTTCATTCACTCGCTAATGCTCCGGCTTTTATTTTTCTTGTAAGTTAATTTCTTATTTTCTTGACCTTATTTTTGAAGTCAACTTTCCTCGCTTTTAAAATAATACAACGTTATATATTGTAACTGAAGAACAGGCTTAGGATCTCCTCCCTGCTGTTTACACACTCAAAGCCCATATTCAGATAGCAACAGGCTTTTTTTTTTTTGCCTTGCCACACACGTTGCCTGTACTGTCAGGAGCAGTGCAATTAAAGGAGTCCATTCGCTTGATAAAGACATAAGTAACTCCGCTGTTCAATCTCAAACGAGGAATTGCCTTGATTAGTATAGAATGATATCAGCCCAGTCACAGGCCTTTCAGCCCAACGAGTCGGTGCCACTGTTTATACCCCACACTAGCCTCTGCCCCTCTGCTTTCCCCTCTCCCTTTTCCTGTCTGCCGGTTAAACAGCCTGCAGCACTATTCGAAAAAGGGAAGGCAGTTTCTCCTGGTGTCCCAGCCAACAATCCCCCCCCCAAATAAAATTAGGCATTCCCTGCACGGAGGTTTGTGGGACATCGCTGTGCACAAATCGGCTGCTGCAATTGCCGACAAAATACAGTCACTGCACTTCACGGTAAATCCTGTGAAGAGCTTTGAGTCGTCCTCCTGATGTGAAGGGTGCTGCATCGCATGTAAGAATTCACATTTTTATTAATATTGTTGTTGACCACTGGGAAACTCCGGTTAAGAGAAATCCCCAGCCACATAGATATGAAGCTATTTTTATATTTCTCCCCTTTCCCCTATTTTGGCTCTGCAAAGGCAAGGATCCATCCTGAGACTCGAGTCGCTGGGTTACACTGGTCCCTGGAGAGTTGTGGGTGACTGTATGAAAACTATGTGATACTCACTCGATTTTCGTTCTTTGGCTGTTTGTGGGACGCTGCTGTGCGTAATTGGCTGCCGGGTTTCGCCCACAAACCATACAGTCAATTCACTTTACAGTGCATCCCCTGTGGCACTTTAGTGTGCTTTCTCCAATTCCCTTTTACCTCCCTCGCCCCAACCCCACCACCCGCCCCATTCTCCTCCCCGGGCACCTGTTTGACAGGTCATTCTCTTGCAGAATCACATTTGGACGACTATAATGAGGTGCCTGTATATACCCAGCAGAAACTCATTGATAAGATCAGCAAACGTGGCTACACTAGTGGGAGGTTTCTCTCACTGTACAGTCTAATGTTGAGATGCCAGAATCAGCCAAAAACAGCTGATCGTATTCGCAAGTGGATTGACTAACGGGGCTGACCGTCCAGATGACTTTCCAATGTACGTGCTTGCTTTCACGTGCATATCTGTTCCTCTTGATAGCAATGATGTTATAATAATAATCCCTGCATTTGATACAGCGCCTCATCACGTCTTTGAGACGTCTCAAAGCGCTTCACGGAATATACTGTAAAGTGAATTGACTATATTTTGCTGGTGAAACGCGGCAGCTAATTGCACACGGCAGCGACCCACAAACAGTCGTGGATTGAGTGACCAAATTATTATTGTTTTTGAAGGAATTATTACTCCCAGAAAAGCAATCCGCCAATCAACTAACAACCGGGTACCTACTTACTGCTAGGTAGACAGAGGCGTGTAGAGTAAGGAAATAAGTGTTTATGACCCCTGGAAAAGCGATCTGCTAATCGACTAACAACAGGGTTTCTATTTAAAGCTATGTAAACAGAGGTGCGTGGAGTAAGGCAACTTGCCTAAAGTTTTGCCCTGCCCGGGGCCAACCCTATATCCATCACACTGAGAATTCCATAGATGTTTGTTGGAATTCCACTCATTCCTGTATCCGGTGCCGGCACTGCAAGGTAACCACTCCCTCTGGCCCACGCAAACATAATATAATCCTTGTATTCTTGTGCATTTAATATAGTGGCTCATCACATCGTTGAGAATTTTCAAAATGCTTGACAGGGTGTTAGTGTGAAGTGCAGTGAGGAATATAGTCATCACCCACAAATAACCAAGACGCTATCCTGTGCGAAGGTCGCTACATGAAAGCAACGTGTTAATGCTGGTGCTGTTGCCGTCATCATCGTTGTTGTTGTTCTTGTGCACAATGAGCCTATGGCAATGGCACTGCATCACACTATGGAGGTATCAGGCAGCTTCTCGTGTTTTTACTCTTTATGTCTCTCTCTCTCTCTCTAATGTTCTTGCCTCCACAGCCCAAAGTTTCAGTCATCTGCAATTTCCAATTGCTGTATTCAGGGAGCAATTGACAGACGTCTTGAGTCCGAAATCCCCTTTATTCTCAGCCTCCTAGACCATTTTGGCTTAAAGTTTAAAATCGAGCAAAATTGGAGAACACACTTAAATTGAACTCGGAATCTAATTTTCTGCAGGTCTCTTGCTTTACTTATCTAATTCCGGAGAGAATTCCAGTGGTTTGCGGTTCCCCCAGTGGGTGCGCTCACGGACTGGTGGGGGAGGGGGAATAACTGCTGGAGAATAACCAGCTTAAACTGTACAGTTTGCCTGTTGTTGGAAACATGGCACAGAATGGAAGTGAATCAGTGAGCTCTGGTGCAAGTTGTGAAAGTCTTGTTCCGTGCACTTGCTTTGTGCAATCATCCAGCTGATGGAAGTGTAACATACACTTAGAGGAGAGACAAATTCCCTGACACTAAATACAGTAAAACCTGCAATAGTCTGATCTTTATAAATTGTATAATCGCCCGAGTCATACATCTGTCCAAGGTCCCGTTTATGAGTCTATATTCTATGCAAGTTTGACATTACTCGAACTTTGCAGAAGTCATATTAAGTGTAAGGTCCCAACTGATACGACTCATGTGATGTTTACTGTATCCCTTTCTTTTTCTTGTAGGCATTCCAACGCTTATTATCCTAGATCAGGAGGGGAAGATAATTACTCGCCAGGGAAGACCAGCGGTGCTGAATGACATTGATTGTATAGAATTTCCGTGGCATCCCAAGCCTGTGTTAGAACTTATAGAATCCAACGCCATGCAGCTCAATGAAGGGCCCTGTCTCGTTCTCTTTGTGGGTATGTGCTGCTGTTTTTCACCCATCTCCTCATTCTCAAACGTAGGAGTAGCAACCACAGCTCTTGTATTTATAATGTTCTCATCGTTAGCTGTTGCATCCCATCCCACGGGGTACCAATCCACAGCAGACAGGACCCAGAAGTAGCACTGCTGAACTGCCTCAATGGGAAACAAAGCGCTCTACCAGTTTATAATCATCCCTCTATCGCAGTTACAGTTATACAGCACAGATCCCTGGCCCTGTTAATTTATTTGTTTTACCAGGCATAGAACTGTGCTGCCTGAGGGAGGAATTGGTCCCAGCTCAGAAGCAACAGTTCCCATTATTTCTGTTTTCACAAAAAGCTTCACTTGGTTCCTTTGAGTAGCAATGCCCCCAGGCTACCCGTAGTACAACCAGCACAAGCAAGGGGCCAAGCAAGGAATGGGAGGGGAGGGGGGCTCGAAGTAGGTTTTTAGTTGGGATTTAAAGACTGATTTGATATTGAGTGTGATTTAGAGACCAAGAAGGAGTGAGACAGACTGGTAGAGGGGGGTATTTCCAGAGATTGGAGGTGTGGTTATTACAGTGGAGGCAGATGCAGGTTATGCTCCGTGGGGGAAGGATGGGCCCTGATGTTGCATTGCTTGCTTACGACCCCGCTCGCCGGAGCCACTGACCTGACGGTGTGGAACCTCAGTTGCCTCTTATACTTCCTTTTTTTTAATATATATATATAAAAAAATGTTTTTCCCCCACAAGATTCTGAAGAGGAAGAACTAGAACCAGCCAAACAATTGATACAGCCAATAGCGGAGAAGATTCTATCAGAACACAAAGCGAAAGATGAGGACCCACCATTACTGTTCTTCGTGGCCGGCGAGGTGAGTCCTCAGCTTCTGACCCCGAGCTCCGCCCACAACACTGACCTCCCTCCCTCCCCCTCTCTCTCCTCCCACACTCCCTTCCTCACTACTCTCTCTCTCTCCCTCACTCCTTTCTCCTTCTCTCTTCCCATTTCTACCATTGTTACTCATCCGATGGCCGGTAAAGAAAACCAGAGACGAGGGTTTGTTCAGCCTCTGGTCTGGCTGAATGTGTACACCGAGTGCTGGAGCCAGTCAAAAGCCGTGTTAGAAACCTCTTGCAGCACGTTAGCTAACGTGAACCCATCTGTCACTTGAATACTTGGCACTGCACATCCCAACAACTCTCAGCGCCCCTGGGCATTACTTTAACTAATACCTTCCATACTGGCAGCGTTCCGCTGGAGTCTCTCTTATATTGGCCTTCCTCCTGCACTGCAGGCACTCCAGGGCTTTTTGCTTTAAATGTTTGCCAAATATAAAGACTGAGAGGAAAGATCTAATCCTCTCCAGACTCTTCTGCCCTCCCCCACCCATCCTCCCTTTCTGCTCTCTGCTCAAACCGTTAGGGTACAGTTCCTAAACTTCCTAAAGCACCCGCTCTCTGGAGCTCCACCCTGGAGTCCCTCTGACTCACATCTACCCAACACACTTTTACAGCCCGCCTCGAGACTTGCCTCTTCGACCGTGCTTTTGTTCAGTATTTCTCTGTTCTTTCCCCCGCCCGCCCCTCTTCATTCAGTGACCTTGCTATCTTAAAACCTGTGCTGCTGGGTCGATAGAGCGTGTGTGGGCAGCAGGCGATGACAGGATCCAGCTCCACAGAATGATTCCGGTGCTCAGGGTTAGAACAGCCTGCCAACTCTCACCATTTTAGTCCAGACATAATGGACGGCCATTCCCCCCACACACTCATACACACTCATTCACACACACACACACACTCACTCACACACACTCTCCTCTACGTTTTAAAGGCTGGAACGTTTATCCACCATTCTTTATATTAATCTGAACATTTGATGTGTAACTCAGGATTAGGTCAGCGATGACTGCAGCTTCTTTGGGGGCGGGATGGGGGGGTGGTGAGAAAATCCAATCCATGTTCTTAGTAGCTGTGATATCTCTCTCCCCCCATCTCCCCCTCCTAGGAGCCTTTCACCAGAATTGGGGACAAAGTAACTGGTGCATGTCAGGGAAGGGGGAGGGGTTTGGGGGTGAACACAAACCATGCACAGTGATATTTTATTTAAATTCTCTGCGTTCCCAGGTTTACAGATGATGGCGGAGTGGGGAGGGAGGGAGGGAGGGAACTAACCACGTCTACACCATCTTCCTGGGATCTGCACTCAACACCACTGCCCTGGCCTGAATTCCAGTAGTTCCTGTGCTAATTGGGGTTATTATTTCCACCCTGTGATTTTAACACTGAAGGCAAAACAACACGGCCACTTTAAAGAGCCGGCCAGCATCCTGAACACGGCAGTCCCTGCAGTCTGCCAATTGACTATCATTAAAGTTAATTCACTGTTTTTAAAACCTATTTAGCCCAAGTGTTTAAACGTGAAGCAGCTCAGTTAGTCTAGAGTATTAGCAAAGTTTGATTGAAGCCTGTGAATTTTCCCCAGACGTCACAGCCTGAGATCAGGTTGGATCAGTCGCTCTTTACCACGCCATCATTACTGACTTTTGAACAGTACGTGATAATAATAATCATTGGTTTGATACAGCGTCTTTCACGTCAGGATGACGGCTCAGAGCAAACGTTCACAGGATCTTACTGTAAACTGAAGCTATCGTGCACTTTGTAGGCAGGAGTCTGAGAGGTAAATGTTCCAGGAGTTTGCTTCCCGACTTCCTTTCCCACTATCCAGCAATGCTCTAAGCATGCTGATTGTGACAGTGTGCGTAGAGACGTACGTTGGTGAATCCAAAACCAGGGAGGCATAAATATAAACTAGCTGGCGGCAGATTTCATAGGGAGTTTAAGAGGAACTTCTTCACGCAGAGGGACGTGAACTGGTGGAACTCTGCAGGAAGCTGAGGTTGAAGCATAATGCATCATTATATTTAATGCAACAAGAGGCAGGAGGGAATAGAGGAGTATAAGAGGGTTGGAGGTTTATGTGGAGTATAAACAACAGCACAGATTAAGTTGGCCTATTCCATGCTGTATCATTCCTCATTAACTTTAAAAATAAGACGCCACCATCGACCCGGATCATTGCAAATCTAATCTAAAGCATCAGATTCCTGAGGACTAAAACCATTTGTAATTGTGCCGCATTCCTGACCCGAACATAACCTAGAAATACAAGACTTTGAAGCAAACGTATGCTGTTCCTCAGCTTTGACCGGCTTTCCAGACTCTACACTGAATGCAGTCAGCCCGCTGCCAAACGCCCGGGGGCAGCAGGTGACAAAGCGATCGCTCCATTGACTCCCTGTCACAGAACAGATCGACTTTAGGATCCTCACACTTGTCTGCAAATCCCTTCACATCGAGGCACCACCTTACCTCTCCGAGCTGCTTAAACCCCCCCCCCACCCCCCATTTAGCCCCGCTCGGGTGGCTCTGGCCTCCTGCTTGATCCTGGTCCCATTCTCTCCACCATCATTCAGCCACTACGCCCCGAAACTTTGGAATTTTCTCCCTCAATCCCTCCCTCTTACCCCTCCGCTCTTTCCCCATTTTCAGACCGTGTTTACTGTCCACGGTTCGGTGTCAAGCTCCGCCGCTGTTAAGCACTCCGAGATGCTAACCCTCATGAAGGGCGTTATATGAATGCAAGTTGTTGTTCTCTGAGGCCCTTTCTACCTTTGTGGTTCTGTTTCCATTCAAAAGTCAGCCACTGAGTGTTGGTCGGTGTGGTGTGTGTGGGTGCGGGGTAGGGTGGGTGGTTGGGCTGTAACTCTGCCTTGGGTTTATTAAAGGTCTGGTCCAGACATGACCTTGCTGAGCCAATCATTGTGTGTGTTAGCAGCGTGCAGTAGAGGTGTCTCTTCATAACGTGTCTTCACTTAACGTATTTTATTCAAATCCATAGATTTCTGCTCTCTCTCTTTCTCTCGCACTGCATCAAATACAATGATTTAGCAATTATTGAAGCTCGAGAGAAAGCAAACCAGTGCAGAGAAGAGCGAGAGAAGTTGTTCAGTGGAGGAGTACAGGGATAGATGAAGGTTGAACTGAGATCTGACGTGTAGCTAATGTGGTTGTGCTGCTCATGTGATGTGACTGCAATCTTAAAGGGAAGGAAATCCTGAGGCCAAGAGCAGTCCAGCATCTCGGCCACATCTCACAATCCCATTACAGCCAGAGGACATTCACAGCGTGTACAGGATTTGACGACCAGCACTCGCTGAGCTCCAGGGGAGGGAGGGAAGGAGGGAGGAAGCGAAAGGAGTGAGAGGGAGGGAGGGAGAGAGGGAAGCTGAAACGGTTTCTGAATTTCCTTTAAATCCCAAGATTGTTGAAGTACTGCCATTGGCTTTTCTCTTAAAAAAAAATTTCAAAAGAAAATTTTTGTCCAGCTGTTCGTAATTTTCATCTTGTTGAGTTTGTAAGTGCTCAGTAATCTGGTTCAATGCTGGGTCTTTAATTCACATGATTGGCAGGACTAGGTGGGCGGGGGAGGGGGCTGTGGGCAGTCAGCACTCACAGTCGTTGCCAATTGAGCAGGTGGTTTTCGGAGCAATACACTGGGCAGGGTAAACTGGGGGTGAGGGTGTGTGTAACAAACACTGCGCGGATCCCATTGCAGAACACTAATAATATAGGAGTTCATACATTTGCACCTTATCACTTTGTCAAAACACCTTAAGAGCATTCACTGTGGTCCTGTGTATGTTGTCGGCAGCCAATTTGCACGTAGCATTACCCCGTAAACAGCCGGGAAATGAAGGAGAGTATTTTTTTTACCTGTGGGATTGTTGGCCGGGACACCGGAAGAGAGAAACTCTGTTCTCTTTTCGAATAGTACTGCGGGATCTTTAACAGCCCCCTGACTAGGCAGACAGGACCTCAAAACACTTCACAGGGTTTGCTGGAAAATTCAGTGACCATGCACATACATAAACACAGTATCTCACAACCACCATAACTAATTGTTTCTGGGAAATTCTTGTCCAGTCGAGTGGCTGTTACGGTAGAGTTGACTGGAGGTTTATAAGTAGATAGGCAAGTCCTGAGGAAGTGTATTACAGGCTTATGGGGTAAAAGCAAGAGATTGGGGTTAGAAACAATGGCTTTGTGAAACACTGACCTTAATACAATGGGTCAAACAGATGTCTGTTTTGAGTTCAATTCAGTTTCGAGAAACTACTTTGCATCCTAGTCCCAGCTAAACTGGTGTCGTCTCTGCAGGGAATCCAAAATGGCTTTCACCCGGAATTAGGCTTCCTCTTACTCATGCACATTCACTGTATTAGGCTGACGTTAGCCAGCTTCACAGGCACAGAACCCTGGGGCTCTCGGATTGAGGTAAACACATGGAAGGGATGGAGGAAATGAGCAACAAGTATGATGGATATAGCTAGAGACAGGTACTCCGGGCCCTGCTGTACTAAACACCTCTTGAACCACTGCTAATTGGTGATTAGCAACAACCTTTCGCTCCAGTTGAAAAGGCAAGGTCTGTTTTTTATGTGGCGTTCCGGCTTTATTCTTCACTTTACAAGTGGCTGTGCTTCCTGGCGGTGTGGATTTCTGAGGAGGAGGTGAATGGATATGTTTAAGACCACTGTAAATCTCTTCGGGAATAAAACCGGGTTTCCCCTTGAGTGAACCTCGGGGTGCTGAGGTGATGGATGACTGTGTTAGTGGAACATTTTGCTGGCTTTCACCTGATGGAGTGGTCAGGTCTAAGGAGAATGCAGAGGGTCTTTTCTTGGGTCTTCACGTTTTCCTGGCAAGTAACCTTAACCTGAGTTGCCCTTAATGTGCCTCTTGCTTTTCCTTCCATTACTGATTTCCATTGTCCCACTCCCTTCATTGCACAGAACTGCTGCAAACTCTTACGCCTCCCAGTGGCCAGTTTCGGAACAGCGTTTGGTGAGGACCTGGGAGCGGGGTGTGTGGCTTTGGCTCAGTGCTGGTGACCAAGGAAACCCCATGAGAGGAAAGGAGAAAGTAACTTCAATTGAACCATTTTAAAACTCTGTAAATAAATGCACAAGAAAGCCTCTTTGGAAGTCTTATCGGTTGAGAGCTCTATATGAACTATCACCCACAAAATGTACAGTCAATTCACGTTACAGTAATAATCCCTGAAGCGCTTTGAGATCTAGACAACTTTAACCATGACTTTAATCTCTTGCATCTCGGGTCACTGACGTCCTGTCCTGTCCCTTGCTCTTTCAGGACGACATGACAGAATCGTTACGGGATTTCACGAACCTGCCCGAGTCTGCGCCGTTACTTACCATTCTGGACATATCGAGGCGAGCCAAGTACGTGAAAGACGTAGAGGAGATCACACCGGCCATCGTGGAAGAGTTCGTAAAAGCTTTCCTGAAGGAAAAGCTAAAGCCGGAGCCTATCTGAAGACAGAAATATTTATAACCGCGTCCTGATGCTCAATCCAGACTTCTATTTAAAAAAAATACACAAAAAAAAGTCTTTCCTCTAAGTGTTGAATTTCTATGTGTTCTAACATTACCTGGTCTTAACCACGTGCGGGTAGGAGGCTGCCGGGAATTGTTTGGTCCCGGCCGGTCAGGACGTGGGATTGTCCTGCGACAACAGAATCCAGTCGGTGACTAGACGTTGGTTCTGAATCCGAGCGTCAGCCTGTTCCGTGTCTCCAAAGAAACCATTGGCATTTTGCTCCTGCCTTGTCCCTACCTTCTTCTACACAAGGGTCCTCACCACAGCCCAACCCTCTGCTGTTTTTGGTAACACTCATAGTACCAAGGCTTAATTCCAACACGCTTATCAAAGAATTGTTTGGAGTTCCTCTATTGGCTTTCCCTTCAGTTGGTTCCTATAGGTGATTTTAAGCTAACACTTTTTTTCTATTGCCCTTTTTGGGGAACTGGATCCTGTCTATAGTGCTTTAAGTTATTGCAAGTTAAGACTAATAAACATGGCAGTAGTAGCACAGAAACAGTGATTTCTTTTCTGTTTTTTTCTCTCTCTGCCGTGTAGCCCTGCTCGTTCCACTGGCTTCTGCTGTGAGTGGCCACATCTGGTTTCACATTGTTTGGTGTTGTTTAGTTTTTTTATTATTAATAATAATGATAATTCTTGCATTGAATTCATCATCTTTCACGTTGGGAGTAAGTCTCTGAGCGCTTCATACGATATACTGTATAAAGTGTAGTGACTGTGTATTTTGTGAGCATCAATTTGCCACAGCAACGTCCCACAAACAACTGTGAAGTGAATGGATTTTATCTGGGGGGATCGTTGGTGGAAGGTACAATTATTTTTGAATAGATGTAGCTGCCTAAGCAGTGCACGTCAGATTATATTTTTGGGTCAACCAGGTGCCCGATACACACAGAAACCCATCACCGCGTTTTCAGATTGTGTGAAGCTCATTGAGCCAGTTTCCCAACGTGAAAGCTGCTATATAAATGTAAATTAATGTTAAAGAGAATGCTAACCAAACCAAGTTCAACATGTGCATGCCACCTATCCTGGAAATTTCCCTGTGACCTTAATTACAGGAGTAATTCTCTGTGGTTAAGACATTGCATCAAATGCAAGTGGCACGATTTCTGGGCGGTGTTCAGGTAGCTGATGACAACTGGGGCAGGATTGATGTTCATCTCAGTGTCTCTGAGCAAGGGACTGAGTCAGGATTTCAACTGCTGATCACTGTCCGATAACTCTATTAGAAATGTGCAGATGTATGGACGAGAAATGGATCAAGCTTGGCTCTGACAAACTCTTGTCACCTCTCGCTGACCAGAGTCACACACGAAGAATGGCCTTTGGGTGATATACCAGATGGTGTGAGACTGTACTCGAGCAAACCAGCTCGTTCGTGCCTTTGAAAGAGGAAGAGTGAACGAAGGCAGATTACGGTTTTGAAATTTGACCAACGTTGCGATTACAAAATGACTGTGTTTGGTCGAGTGAAGAAGTGACGGACGGTGAGGTGTATGTTTAAAAGACCAAGTATTGAGTTAACATTGAGGCTGGGAGATGAGTGATGAAGCCACAAGACTTGACATCAATGAGTGACCCCCCCCCCGCAGGCTGAAATGGAATGGTTTTACTGAGACTTTTACTGTGATAAGCAGATGGTGGTGTTGCTTCTGGAAGTGGGGGAATTGATGACGAGAGTGAAGAGCTCTGATTCAGCCTCCCGCTCGCTTTGAGATCGGGACGTGAAAAAAACGACAAGCGATATTATCGGTGCCGTCCTTCACCAATGTGAACAATAGCCAGTGAGCGAGCCAGAGCACTTTGCCAACCACTGATGCCTTCATTGGAGCAAAGGCACTTGATTGTGGTTTTGGGAAGCCACCTGCTGAGCCAGTTACCGAGTCAGCCGTGGATTCTCACCTGCGCTGGGTGTCCGCTGGTTGGTGTAATGTTTCAGTTACTAATTGAGAAGGAGTTTCTGCCAGTGACTTAATTGGTGGGTTAACGCACTGAGCCGTACAGGTTCCGATAGTCTAAGCCGTTTGATATCTGCTATCCTGAGTTGGTGAATGGTTTAGTGTATTGCTGGTGAGTGAGCCAGGGACAGGATAAATCAGCCTCATCTCCTGATTCTGAGGGCTCTCCAGGGAAAGGAGCTGGACACTGCCTCACACATGCTGGCTGAGAACAGAACTGGTTTGGAGGTTATCCTTCCTCTTTCTCCCCCTGCCTCTCCCCATGCGTCCCCCACACCCTGATGAAACAGCCTGTCACAGCTGCCTAAACTCACATGTGAAGTGTGGTCAAAAGGTGCAATAACAATGCTGATCACTTGAGAGGAGGATAAGAAAACTGGAGGGAAATGTCAGCAACAGAAAAGATCCAGTGTGTTCAGATTGCCTGCCAATATAGTAAACATAATGGTGCAGTGGATTACCATCACAAACCTAGCCTGTAAATGCCTCTACCCTCAGCCCCTCAATATATAATAATCCTTGTATCTGATGATGTAACTACCATTTTAGCAAGGCATCCCAAGGGATTTTGCTGTGAAGTGTAGTAACTGTGTGTTTGTAGGCAAACGTGGCAGCCAATTTGTGCACACAAACAGCTATGAGAAGTAAATGACCAATTTTAACGTGCGGTGGGGGGCAGGGTGTAGGTTGGTCAGCGGGCAGGAACTTCCTTCTCTTTTCAAGTAGAAAAGCTGCGGGATCTCTTAACGTCCACTCACAGTGGTAACACAAGCCTGCAATGTCCTCACGAGCCCAGCATGACTGACTAAGAGTGAGTGTAAGAGGAGATTAGTTTGCTTGGGGACGATGCTGGGTGATTTAGTGAACGCTTTCATTTGAGGGTTGCGACCAGAGTTGTGTACAATCCGTCTGACCTTTTGTTCTCTCCAGGATATGAATCTATTGCTTCAGAATCCTACACCACACTGGCATTCCTTTGAAGGGATGGCTTTTGATAAACCCGCAGCCCACTGCCCACAGCTATTTGTTGGATATCTAATGTAAGTGATGCCTCTCCTTATCCACTAGAACAAGGAGTGTTCCCCACACCAGCCTAGCTTTGCCAACCAGAGAATGTTAACATAATGCTTCTTCAAATGTCCTTCAGGAATTTAGGGCTTAATCTGCTAGATAGAGTACCACAGGACCCAAACTGACAGGAAATTAGATTTTCCTAAATTGTAAACTAGAATATAAGTGAATTAAGTGGAGAGAGTGCACAAACTCTTTTGTCAGTCACTATGATGGTACCACTGTTTCACTGTGTTGTAAAGGCAATGGTATCACAGTGACTGATGGGGCCAGACTAGGGAGCGTGACTCACTGAAGAGCGGTGTGCGTGACTTCGGGAGGGTATGGTCTGGTGGATTGGGCAGAGAGGTGGCAGGTGAAAACGAATGCAGGAAAGTGTGCAGCGATACACTGTATGAAGATGACTAAGGAGGGAGAGAAACTACATATTTAATTTTAAAAGGAGTGGAAGAGCAGAGACCTGCATTTAGTATACACGTCATTAAAGGTGGAAGTTAGTAAAGCTGTAACAAAAAGCAAATTGGCAATACTAAACCTGCATAAAACGATAGTTAGCTCACGGTGTCCAGTTTAGGGGCATCCCATTATAGGAAGGATATCAAGATAATAATAATAATAATCCTTGCATTGGGTATAGCAAATGTTCTGGATGATCTGCATTTGATATATCGCCTTATAATATTTATCTAATTATCACAATTCGAGACGTCTCAAAGCGTTTCACAGAATATACTGCAAAGTGAATTGATTGTATATTTTGTGGGCAACACACGGCAGCCAATTGCGCACAGCAGTATCCCACGAACAGTGTGGATTGAGTGACCAAATTTTTTTTTTTGAAGGAATTATTACCCCCAGAAAAACAATCCATCAATTGACTAACAACCGGGTTCCTACTTACTGCTAGGTGAACGGAGGAGTACGTTTCGCCCTGCCGGGAATCGAACCCAGGTCCTCTCGCTTGCGAGGCGAGTGCTCTAACCACTGAGCTACAGGTCTCCACTGATGGAAGACAGAATTAGATGAATATCTGAAAAGGAAAATCTAAAAGGATGTGAGGGAAAAGCTGGGAGAATGGGACTAATGGATAGTATGGACATGAGCCAAATGGCCTATCCCTGTGCTGGAAATGTCTGAGGCCCCACAGTGTGGATGTGGCAGACAAAGCAAGTGCAGGACATGAGACCTATCACCCGCTAACCCGAGGTCTTGTTGACCCCCATCAAACCTGCCAGCAAAAGCCTGAACACGTAGGGTGGTTCTCGCTGGATAAGTATCGCTTAAAACTAGTATTGTTAACTCCATGGTTACCATTGCACTTGGCAGAGAACTGGAGAGAGAAGCTGTGAAATGTGGCTCAACGTGACAAAATGAACAACCCCACTGCGTTGCCTGCAGAGAGGCTGTAGACTCACACACACAGCAACATTAAGCTGCCCAGTTGCTCGGGGCAGGTTGACCGGGAGTGTATTTCACTGTTGTCGTTGCTTGTTACTGCACCAAAGCCTGAGTGTTCCAGCACAGCGCCACACACGGGGAGTGGGGAAACGTCAACTCGGCAGAAACAAATTGGAAGATCGAGCTACTCGGTACTTATAATAATCCTCGTGTTGATATAGCGCCTTATCACGTCGTCGAGATGTCTCACAGCGCTTCGCGGGATATGCGTGTGATAAACTGGTGTGATTTCGGTTTTGCGGAGTGGGGTGGCTGAACGATGCAGGCAAACACTGCAGCCAATCTGCGCAGAGGGGTGTCCCACAAACAGCCGTGAAGTGAGTGACCAATTTTATTTGGGAGAGTTGTTTCCCAGGAAAGACGCTCCTCTCTCGAAAGACGCAACAGCAACTTGCATTTACACAGCAGGCCTGCGTGCCGGGCGAAGTCTCGGGAGTGGCAGGAAAGATGCCGGAAGAGAATTTTTATTTGTTTCGTCCACAAAACACAACAGTCCACCCTGCTTTACAGTGAAGGCTTTGAGATGTCTCAACGACGTGATAAGGCGCTTGTATTAAATACAAGGAATATTATATTATTTTATAAAACTGGGTGTTCGAGAAAAACTCCTAATTCGTGACATCCTAGCTCAAGGGTCAAGAGACTATGGTTATTCTAATTCCGAGAGTTGTTATTTTCATTGAGATCCGTTGTTCTTTACCACATCTCAACCAGGACGGTCATTAAATGCCCTGTATCAGAGCCTCCCATCGCGACCCTGAGGTCAGTTGAACGTTGCTTCATAATCCAGACGTATTACTCTGGGTGAGGTGGGTTAGTGTGAAATAAAATAGCTTGTTATTGTATAATCCTTTAAACCATACTGAAATATTACTGTGTTATTTCTGACTCTGCTTAAATGCGTAGGGAGTAGAATTGGTCCCTATTTTGTTTGCGTGCTGGCACCCCTTAGTCACATTGAATAACTTAATAATAATATTAATAATAATAATATTCATTCCACTTGATACAGAACTTTAATGTCGGGAGGATGTCTGAACGAGTTTTTACTGGGTTTTACTGTAAAATGCAGTGACTGTGTATTTTATAGGCGAACGTTGCAGTCAATCGGAGCACAGCAGCATCCCAAACAGCCATGAAGCGAGTGAGCCTGAGTGGCACAAGTCAAAATTCAAAGGTGACTTGGTGGAGGACCTTCCGAGAGATCTGGTTGAATTAACTTGGGAACATGGTAACAGTCCACTGAAGGGTTTAACTGTCCCCGGGCCACTGAAGTGATTACCATGTGGAGTCCTGTAGCTCAGTGGTTAGAGCATTCGCCTCACAAGCGAGAGACTTGGGATCGATTCCCAGCAGCGCGAGACCTTGGGCAAGTTTCCTTACTCCGCATGTCTAATAATAATAATTCCTCAAGACAAAAACAATAATAGATTGGTCATTTCAGTCCACGACTGTTTGTGGGACACTGCTGTGCGCAATTGGCTGCCGCGTTTCACCCACAAATATACAGTCAATTCTCTTTACCGTATATTCTGTGAAACGCTTTGAGACGTCTCGAAGACATGAAAAGCGCTATATCAAATGCAAGGATTATTATTATTACCATACCGAGTTACTTAAGGAGTTAATGGCACCAAAGCACTGAAGGGTTAACGGTACCAGAAAACAGCTGTCAGTTTCTTATTTTAGAATCATAGAATTATACAGCACAGAAGGAGGCCATTCGGCACATCGTACCATCAGCTTATATCGCCTCTCTTCATTCTTTCTGCCAAAATGCATCACTTTGCATTTCTCCACCTTAAATTTCATCTGCCACGTGTCTGCCCATTTCATCAGTCTGTCTATGTCTTCCTGCAGTCTACTATCCTCCTCACCATTTACTACATTTGCTAGCTTTATATCATCTGCAAACTTGGAAATTGTGCTCCCTATACCCAGGTCCAGGTCATTTATATAGATTAAAAACAGCAGTGGTCCTAATACTGACCCCTGAGGAACACCACTGCAAACTTCCCTCCACTCTGAAAAACAACCGTTCACCACCACTCTCTGCTCTCTGTCTCCCAGCGAGTTCTGTATCCGCTGCCACTGTCCCTTTAATGCCGTGGGCTTCTATTTTGCTCACAAGTCTCTTATGTGGCACTTTATCAAACTAATTTTGAAAATCCATATAAACTACATTAACTGCACTCTACCTTCATCCACCCTCTCCCTTACTTCATCAGAAAACTCCTTATCAGGTTTGTCAGACATGATTTGCCTTTAATAAATCTGTGTTTCCTGTCCTTTATTAACCTAGAATTTTCTAAGTGAACATTAATTTTGTCCCGGATTATCATTTCTGGAAGTTTCCCCACTACTGTCGTGAGGCTGACCGGCCTTCTCCCCCTTTTTGTACAGGGGAGTAACATTTGCAACCCTCCAGTCCTCTGACACCACTCCAGTATCCAAGGAGGATTGAAAGATTGTGGCCAGAGCCTCCGTTATTTCCACCCTCACTTCCCTCAGTTTACTTGAAAAGTTCTCTCTTGCTCAATAAGGAATTCCAACTCTTTTGCTAAAAGGCACAGTTCTCTCTTGCTCTCTAATTCTCTCTGGCTCAAGAATTCCCTCTCTCACCAAATTCCTTAACAGAAGTCCCACTCAGCTCCCCCCCTCCTTCTGCCGGGGCTCTTTGCTCGAGAAAAAATATGGAACCCTTCACGAATTTGTGTATTTTCCGTGCCATCACAAAGTAAAAGACAAAAAATGGTCTTTGCAGGTCAAGCCTGGGTGGAATTTGTTGCCTTTTCATCTCAGTTCAGAGAGCTGCGCTGATTTGTGAGCAGTTGGCATTGACCACCTCAGTGCCTACAGTCACACTTGCGACCCCTCGCGGTGTGGGCAAGCCACTACACCTTAGTTTACATTGGGAGCACTGTACCCGCTTTTGATGGTGGACGGTTTTCTGCAAACCATGAACCAGAAAAGCGGTTTGATTACTGAAAAGGTAATAACATGAGGCGTGTTTGGATGTGAGGTTCAGTGTGGAGAGGGAAAAAAAAACAATAATGTGGTAGATATTCAACACTTTCGTCTCATCGCTCACTCGTGCTGTGCGCGAACCAAAACTGCAGGGTGCTGAATCGAAGCAAAGAACAAATCTAATTGTGGGAAGATGATTGAAAGCAGCGAACGCCTGGGATAAGAGTGAGCGTACAAGAGCATAGCTGTATGTATGGGCATTGCGTTCACACAGATATGTTGCTGCTGACAGGAGCAAGAACATGCCCTGTCCATCTCCCAGGGAATTGATTCCAGCTCAGTTCATCTCGCAAGACCATTGTCCTCCACTGATTGTGGTCCTGTGGTTTATTATCCAGATATTTGTTCAATTCAGGCTTTTTTTTAATAAAAAGAACAGAATTCATCCAGCAATAACTACCTTCAATATGATTTGTTCTCCCATGTCTATTATTCTGTGGGGAAAGTGCATTTCTTCCAAATCTTCTGCCTTGCTTGGCATTTCTGCTCTTGTGCCCTCTATTCCTGCAGTCAATTTTAAGCAGACACACTTTGGTTGAACCACCGTTTGATGCTAAGAACAAAAAAAATTGGGGGATTGTTGGACAGTGTTCAAGGAGCAGGATCAAATTTAATGCAAAAATGCAGAAAAATTGTAACTTTCAAATAGGAAAGATGCTCTTCAGGAGCTGAAATTTCTCCCCCTTGAGACTCATTAGTCTGACTCGCCAGAGCTCCACGTGATTAAAGTAAATAATGAAAGTAAAGTTGCCAGATTCTCCAGTCACTTGTGCAATAATTTTGAAATTGTGAAAGCCCCCCCCCACCACACACAGAGTATGAAAGGACTCCTGTTCCTCGAGTCCCTGCAGGCAGTAGCTTTGTAATAAGATTGATTTATCAAAATGGGCAACTTTAATAATAATAATCCTTGCGTTTGATATAGTGCCTTATTACGTCGTTGAGACGTCTCAAAGCGTTTCACAGAATATATTGTAAAGGGAATTGACTATATTTTGCGGCTGAAACACAGCAGCCATTTGTTTCATTCAGCTTGGTCAAAGCTCCTTAATTCATGATTGATTTCCGTGTTGTTGCTGGGGGTAGAGGGTGGGAAGGGGAGCAAAGCGTAAAGACACGCACATGATCTCTGCGCACAGCTGCACCGTAAGATCAGTCCTTTAGTAGGTCTTCAGTGAAGATCATGGTGTGTGTGTGTGTGTGTCTGGGTGTGAAAGCTGTTTTGCAATATGTGCTTTTGAAATTCAGCCTAGTGATACAAATGTTATATTTTGTCCATTTCAAACTTGTGCCTGGACAGAGCCACAAAGCACTAGGATAAATGGGAGTAACTTATTGGTAATGAATTAGTGACATCTGTGTGGGTTTTTTTTCACCCCTGGAACTCACTCATGTATATTCATTCAGTGGTGATTGATTGATTGAAACGAACAGAAGAAAAGTAAAGAACGTCTCATATCTTTTGAATGGAATCTCACAGTGCCACTCTCTCTTTGCAGTTAACCGTGACAATTAATGACAACAGCACCAGCAGATTTCATTTGTATAGCGGCCTGCACACAGGATAGTGTGTCAGGACACTGCTTCAACTAACAATTAAGTGTAAGAATGGGCCTGGGAAATGGCACAAAGTTCTAACTTCCAAATCTTTTACCTAGCAGGCATACAGTGGAGTCCTGTAGCTCAGTGGTTAGAGCACTCGCTTTGCAAGTGAGAGACCTGAGTTCAATTCCCGTCAGGACGAAACCTTGGGCAAGTTTCCTACCCCACACTGTAATAATAATCCCTCCAAAACCAAAAACAATAATAAATTGGTCATTTTTAATCTACGACTGTTTGTAGGACATTGCTGTGCGCAATTGGCTGCCGCATTCGCCCACAAATATACAGTTAATTCACTTTACAGTATATTCTGTGAAGTGCTTTGAGACGTCTAGAAGACGTGAAAAGCGCTATATCAAATGCAAGGATTATTATTATTATTACAGTTGGATAGTTGGCTGTTGCTGCTGCCCCATTGGGAGGTTGTACGAGAGCAGTTTCTTATTTTCATTTTCAATATCGGCAGAGTATCATTTGAAGGAAGGAGGTTTTACACCGCTAATTGATCCTGTGTCTAATGAAGACCTTTTTGTTTGTACAGGTCCTGAGACATGAAGAGTTTGAAGAAGGCTGTAAGGCAAGTTGCAATGGGTGTGTAACACTTCTTATTTGATGTTTGTGCTGGTGCAGACAGATTGGCAAAAGTAAAAAGTCCATATGGTTGTGCGTTTGTGTTAAGCGCTCTGAGTCGCTACCCTGCGTGAGGGGCACTATATAAATGTTCGTCGTTGTTGTTGTGATGTGTGTGTGTGCATATTTTGGAGTTTGTGGGTCCAATCCATGTTCTCCTATACAATAACAGTGTGTAGGTTTGTGGCCGCTCTCGTTTAATTGCTGTAAATTGTATTGCAGGCCTTACGATGGAAAGTGGAGCAAAACCATGATTGGCTTTGGTTCAGAAGACAATCACTTTGTGTTAGAACTAACATATAATTACGGAGTCGGCAGCTACCATCTGGGGAATGACTTCTTGGTGAGTGAATATTTCTAAAGAGCGAGCGGACGGGAGGATGTTTCATAAATCGGCCTCTTATAGGTTTTTTTGGTGCTCGTTTTACAGTGGAAGAGAAGGGTTGCACTCCTTCCTGCAGGTCAGTCCAAGATCAGTCGATGGTGTGGTTCTCTAGCTGTGTACTGCAGTGTTTTTTGCTTCTCAGGGAATGACTCTTCAGTCAAGTAAGGCAGTGCGCAAGGCCAAGCAGGAGGGCTGGGCGCTGAGTGAAGCTGGTGACGGCATTTTTGTCACTGAAGCCCCTGGAGGATATAAAATCTTGTTGGTGGATAAAGAGGAGCCACAAACAGGTCTGTGCAGATTTCTTTTTCACACGTACACAAGGTTAACTCGACCCTCCTCTTCGACCGTGCCTTTGGTCATCCTCCTACCCCTCCCCACCCTCCACCCCTCCTCATCCCAACCACCAACTCGGGTGTGGATCCCTGACTGTCCAGCACCTTGGGACGTCCTCCTGATGTGAAAGGCGCTGTGCAAATGTGATTTGTTGCTACACTGCCGGGAGTGGGCGGGGGGAGGCGGGAGAGAGGCCAGGTGGCAGATACTTTTCCATCAACTTGTGAGAAGCTTCGTTGATTCTCCGGGAAAATAAAAATTCATTTCCATTAGTTATTTTTAGAATTTTGATGGTGCTTTGTTTTGTTAATTACCCTAATCCCAGCACAAAATCACTTTCAACTAAAGACTTGAAACGTGTATAATGAGCAGTAAGTCAGTCATTTGCATGTCATCTTTAAAGATTTACTGAGCATAGGAAAGGGAAACAAACTGGCTGGTGGCTGGTTTAACGTCAAACTGGTGATGGCTGCTATATTAATCACTCGGCTGCTTGGTAGACCTTTTTTCTACGAAAGTCGCCACACTCTCTGGGACTGCATCCCAGAGTTCCACCGACTCGCTCACTTCCTCCCACCCTCACCTTTTTCAAAATCATTCTCAAGGCTTTCCACTTTGTCCACGAAATTTGAACCCAATCCTCAGCTCGAGTACCAAGCCTGGACTGTCGAGCGCCTTGGGACATCCTCCCGATATGAATACAAATGTACATTTGAATTGTACACTTGACGACAGGTACCGTTTGAATCGTCCTTGTGACAAGAAAGGTGCTGTATTAGTGGCAAGGATTATTATTGCAACTAAGAGTCATTACATTTGATTTGAAGCGTTTTTAAGAGGTTTTTGGCATAGTATGTATTTTTTAATCAAACGGCAGGATAATAATGTTGATGATGATAAACATTATCATTAATAATAATAGGCAAATAACAATGTTAAAACTTCCTATTGTGCTGTTTTCTCTCGACCGCATTGAACCAGGCTGGGGATCTTTGGCTCGCTAGCCCGAGGCCCTTTGTTGCTTTCTTGGTTCAATGGAAACAATGCTGAAAACTATTCTACTTGTTACCAGATCCCGTGCAGAAGGTAACCCTTGCGGTGTCTGACCTCCAGCGCTCCATCAATTACTGGTCTAACCTGCTTGGGATGAAGGTCTACAAAAAGGATGAGGCCAACAAGAAGGCTGTGTTAGGTTACGCAGATGATCAGGTGAGGTCGAGCAAACCCACATCTGGCAGCTGGTGGGAGGCAGGGTCATGTGGTGCCGAGACATCATGCGACTGGCTAGCCAATAAATATCCTGTCTCATTGATCACAAATGTTCTGTGTTCTCTTGCCAAATCTCCCTCCTCCTCCTCTCCTGTGGATGCTTGACCTCACTTGCGTTTCACAGATGCTGGTCACCTTCTGGTACATCAAAGGAGGTTGTTATTCACGTGTGAGCCTCAGCAATGAGTGTTGCTGGGTGTTTACCAACCAGTAGGGGGATCAAGTCGAACCCCATCCTGCTCTCACCTGACAGGGTCTGTTGGCTAGAGGTGAGGGGTGAGCAGTGGGGATTGAGAGTAGAGCAGTGTTGTTAATTGTCTTTCACTCCATATTTTAGTGCAAACTTGAGCTACAGAACATTAGCGAGCCTGTTGATCATGGGACATCTTACGGAAGAATCGCTTTCTCCTGCCCAAGGGAGCAGGTAATAAGAGTGGAGAGAATTTTATCCATATGTGTGTGGGTTTCTTTGGTGGCATCTTTCTTGATTTTTTTTTCTTCCTCGTGGAAATCGCACATCTCCAAAGGAGGAATAGCAGGGTTACAGAGTCGCTCAGTTTTGTGCCAGTTTTGTAACGAACTTTGAAGCTTTTATCCTCGTTGAAGCCTCTGCCCAAAGCACTGTATAGTCTGTGGGTGGCATTTACTGCAGTGTTTTATTATTGAAGCTCAGCCTGAATCTGGTCCAAGTTGTTCTTGGATGAAGAGGAGGAAAGCAAGGTTAATGTGCAAATATCCATTCATACAGCATTGTGGTTTAAAACTTCACAAAGTGAATGGGGCTCCTAAATTGAGGGAACAGGGTGGTAATGAATAACTAACTGTAAATGGATGAAGCTGACGAGCAAGAAATCAAACACATACAGTTTGGCTCATTATTGTTCCTGCAAATATAAATTGGCTCCAGTCTCCCGCACGTCCCCTCCGCTGCACCATCGGCGCCTGCTTTCAGCCACTAGACCCTGAGAGTCTGGAACTCTCTGCCTCAGTCCTTCTGCTTGCACTCTTTGCCCATCTTCTGTTTGCACTCTTTGCCCAAGAGCTTCCTTTTCCACCGTGCCTACGGTCATCTCTCCTGTCCCTGGCTCGGGGTCACTATTAAGCGCTCCCAGACTCTACCCCGTGTCAAGGATGCAATTTAAATGTGAGTTGTTGTTGTAAAGGTCAATTTTTCATTATAGAAATAGAACAGAAAATGACTACAGTCTCTTAACCTCTACAGCCGACAAGAACGTAACAAAAATAAATTATTATTGCATTTGATAAAGCACCTTTCTTATTGGGAGGATTTCTCTAATGCTTCACAGGACTCACTGTAAAATGGAGTGACTGTTTTGCGGGTTAAATGTAACGAATGTAACTGAGCTGTCGTAGGTTTGAGATTTCTCTCTTAAAATTTTTTTTTTTAACAAAACAAAATCAAGCTGCCGGAAATCGAGGCGGAGATGAAGAAGGAGAACCAGAAAATCCTGACTCCGTTGGTTAGTTTGGACACTCCTGGAAAGGCGACGGTAGAAGTTATCATTCTGGCCGATCCTGTGAGTTATTACAACAACAACAAATTACATTTACGTCAGGAAAGGCGCTGGACAGTCAAGGATTTGGGCCGAGCTGGGGGTTGGGAATCAGGATATTAATATCGGGATATTAAGAATAGGATCAGAAGGTGTGGAGGGTGAGGAGGGCAGGCATAGGATAGTTATTACAGTTAATATTGTCATTATTAATAATTAATTATTAGTGGTAATAATAATAATCCTTACATTTAATATAGCACTTCACCACGTCTTTGAGATGTCTCAGAGCGCTTCACAGAATATACTGTAAAGTGAATTGACTATGTTCTGTGGGTGAAACGCAGCAGCCAATTGCGCACAGCAGCGTCCCACAAACAGTCGTGGATTGAGTGACCAAATTATTTTAATTTATTTTGAAGAGACTATTATCCTCAGAAAGCAATCCGCCAGTCGACTAACAAATGGGCTGCTACTTATTGCTAAGTGAACAGAGGCAAGCGGAGTAAAGAACGTTGACCAACATTTCGCCCTGCCCGGGAATCAAACTCAGGTCCTCTCGCTTGCTTGGCGAATGCTCTAACAACTGTGCTACAGGACTCCACATAATAATAATTATTAGTTATCGTGGTAATGTTGTGAGGAAGAGCTGCTGTAACTGCTTGCGTATTGGTATTGGCTCATGGTATGTGTGGTTCCGAGGACATTAGTAAAGGGTGAAGGACCCAGAGGTCATCACTGGTCTCTGCTTCCACAGGATGGTCACGAAATCTGCTTTGTGGGTGACGCTGCTTTCCGTCAGCTTTCCAGAGTGGATCCTGATGCCAACAAACTACTGGATGATGTGAGTAAATCTCAATATACAAACACACAGATATAAATATATACATGTGTGTGTGAATAGACACACGTACACGCTTATGTGCAAAGACACCTGCACACAGATCTACACACACAAACAAACAGGCAGATATACAAAAACATAAACGCACACATACAAAACACACATAGCCTAGAAACTGGTCACACCACTGGTTTGGTGTCTGATGGCAGATTTACCAGTATAATACAATATTATTTACATTTTTTGAGTTGCTTTCACGTCAGGAGGACATCCCAAAGCGTATATAAGTGTCAGTGAGGGTTTAACCTTGTGCTCCTTTCTCATTAGGCTATGGCGGCAGATAAGAGTGAAGAATGGTTTTCAAAACACAAACTGGAAAAGCCCTCGGCCTGATCGTTAGGGGACGTGGGATAAAACCACAAACGCATCTGCCTGGTGCAATCCTCAACCCCTCGTGCTTGATTCTGAGCCTGAAAACTGTGTGACTGGACCTTTACCTTCCTGCATGGAGAGCAGTCTGCCTGGAAGTGGCCAATACCGTTTGTCACCAAATCGTCTGGCCCATGGCTCGTACTTCACCCTGTGGAAGGAAGCTAATGGTGTACGCAATCTCTCTTTATTTCACAGACTTTTTTTCTTTGTCTCAAACTCCCAACATGGTCATTATTGCACTGTCTATCCATCAATCAGAGCGAGCATTTAGCATTGAGCTCTTAGGGGAGTAGGGGCAGGGGGATAGTGGGACCCAATCTATCAACCTCCACCCCACCAGCTGAAAGAGGTGGGGAGATTAGAAGCCGATGGAAATGCCCCAAATCAAAATTATTAGGAGGATAGTTAAACCTCTTCACTCCTCAAACCTCCGCTGCTTATAGACATATTCAAAATATTGCTGTGAAATCATGGGTTAAGTGTTGGTGCTGATATGTTTGCTTTGCCAAGACCTGGCTCTGCGGAAACTGCTCTGCGTAAAAAGGCTCTTTCCCTGCATAAGCTCGTGTTTATTTTTCCATCAACATGAAATAACTTCCAAACTGGTTGTAAATGTTAATGTTGGCTGGTGATTGGTGCGTCTTACCTTGGGAACATGTGGAAAGTCTCTCATTTACCAAGGTTGGAGCTTGCTTGTTAAATGAGAGACTTTCCATATGTTTTCCCCACTCCTCCCCCCATCTCCCTCTTCCCCCAACCTGCAATTGTCATTACTACTTGACTTCAATATTGAGATCGATTGTTGAGCTGGTTTTGTTTAACATTAAGAAATGGAAATGAATTGCTCTCCCTCCGATATATACTGTTGGAAAGCTGACAGTACATATTGGAGTGTTAACCTTGTGACGAGGTTCTCTGTTCAGTCTTGAATTAAAAACTTTGAATTAAAAACATCAAACCTTCCTCCAACTAATTAATAATATTCATCCGCGCATTTGATATAACAACTCAACCATGTCACCAATGTCTCAAAGCGCACCACAAGGCTTTGCTATGATGCTGGTATTTTGTAGGCACTGAAATGGAGTGTCAACCAATGCTGTGAGCTCAAAATTCCTGACGTGGGGCTTCAACTCACAACTTGCTAATTGAAAGTGCTAACAATTGAGCCAGGCTGACAAGTGAAGTTTCTTCTAGTAGGTGATTTCTAATGTATGTTATACAAACTGGGTTGAGGTGCCAGGTTATGACATTGTTTGAGCCTCGGAAGAAGAAAAGCTTTACAGTGCCACCTCCCAATCCTCTACCTTAATCTCCGCCTGTCACACACACCAAAAATGTAACAACAACAAATCGCACTTATACAGCACCTTTCACATTGGGAGGACGTCCCAAGATGCTGGACAGTCAAGGATTTGCACCCAAGCTGCAGACTGGAGTCGAGGGGTGGGGAGAGGGATTTTTTTTTTTGGGTGGGGTGGGGGGTGTCTGACACATGCGGAAACCCATCAC